ACCCAGCAAGGGTGGACTTTTGCAATGTGTGTGTGTGTAATATTTTTCTATAATGGCTCCTTCCAGCCTCACTCACCTCATTCCCGGTGCTAGAAATTCAACCCAGGGCCCTGTGCATGCTAAGCAAACATGTAGCTACCACTGAGCTACAGTCCCAGCCCTTTACAGTGCCTTAATTTAAGATGAAAGGCGTCAAGATCAGAGAGCACCACACAGGAGCATCAAGTTTGTGGCCATTTAAAAATCTGGGTAGAGAGTCAAAATGAGAGCTTACCGAATGACTTGTATTTATCTTGTAGATAGGCTTTTCTGCATATGTGATATTTAGTAAAAAGAATTTTGCAAAGGGCTTCTGTGTCAGCAATGCAAAGTGATGAAGTATCGCTCATTACCAGCCTGGGGGCTGAGGTCGAGATGGTGTGAGCTGAACCTTCATACTGTTATTTACCAATTCCATGACCTTGGGCAATCTACTAACCCACTGACCTTATCTGTGAAGTGGTGATAATGATGCCATGTGTAGGTTTACCAGGAGGATTAAATGATTAGCAGGGTGACTAACTCCTCTTAAATCCCCTGGCATGCTGGCTAGCTAGGAAAAAAAAAAGAAAGAAAAAGAAAACCCCAGGCTCTGTGTATTGGGGCTTGAGCATCATATATACTTCTCCCTTTGTTGCCAACCACAAATCTGAAAAGCAAATAATTACTAACAATGTCTTCTTAAGTGAAACTATCAACAAACAAGTTCTGCTCTTTCAAGTGTAATTCTATATGCATGTCTGAAGACTAGGTCACGTGACTGAAAGAGACAAAACTAACAGCTCCATAATAAATGTGTGAAGCCAGCAAGCATCAGGTGCCTGGTCCGAGGCTATCATTAAGCATTCCTATCAGAGGTCTTCTCTAAGAGAACAAAATTCTGTAATGGGACATGATATAAGCCTAACTTAAAGTATGACAGGAACTACTAAACCAGACATGATGGGACACAGCTGCAATCCCAGCATGTGGGAAACTGAGGCAGGACCCATTAACAGGAGTGTGAGGCCGGCCAGGGATACCTAGCAAGCCTGTGTCTCAAAAAACAAAACAAACAAAAACAACTGTTGTTTATATCTATTCATGTTACCAAAATATATTGAAGTCTACTATCTTACACATTGACAAAGAATAATAATAATTGAAAACTGAACTTATCTCCTTGTGGTGGTTGAATAAGAAGAGCCCCCTATAGACTCCTGTATTTCAACACTTGTTCCCCAATCAGGGGTGCCATTTGGGGAGGCTATGGTACTTTTAGGAAGTGCAGCCTTGCTAGATGAAGTATGTTACTTGGGGAAGGCTTTGAGGGCTTATAGGTTCACCCTACTTCCTGTTTGCTCTCTCTGCTTCTTGCATGTGCCTGGAAATGTGACCAGCTGTCCTGTCCCTGTGCCAGGCCCTCCCTGCCATACTGGACTCTGGCCTTCTGGAACTGTAAGCTAAATTAAACCTTCCTTCCTTGAGTTGCTTTGGTCATCATGATCATTTTTGTAATCACAGATACAGAAAAGTAACTAATACACTTTTATTAAAAGCTGTCCCTTAAGTACCATAGAAAAAGAAATCAAAGATTAACCCATCTGAAACTACAAGTTACACTTACTCAACATTAGTGTTCTCTAAGCATAGCATCCAATAAGCAGCAGGTTTACGGGAAATTATATGATGATTTTGAATGTCAACAAAGTTGAACAAAAAGATGCTTAAACATTCTTCTGACCTGAAATATCATGAGTGAATAAAAAACTACTAAATAATCACAGCAGCATGAATACTTCAAACTTAAGAATGCACTGCTCTGTGAGTGATGAAATTGATCCAAGTTACTTCTTGGTGATTAATTTCAATTACTACAGCAAGTTCAAGCCACAGCTCTTAATTTTTAGTGCTTATAACTATTAACTCATAATACTAACATATAACACCAATAATATGAGAAACACATATCTAATTTTTACATACCCAGGGATGCAAGTATAAGGCTGTTTTTCTTCACTAATCCCTCAGCGCCAGGTTTGAGACATAGCGTAGTGGTAGACCTCTTGCCTGGCCTCATTGAGCCCCAGCAGCAGCAAATAAATAAACACATAAATCTTAATCTCCCTTCACTTTGTTTGTTGAGCATTAATTATTAGCTTAATACAACGGTTGTTCTGGGAGAAAGAAAACAACCTCAAAACAAGCCTTCTCCAAGGATACAAAGAGCCACTCCAATTGCAACAACAAAAAAATGTCAGAAAGCAATAGGCTTTATATCATATGTAAATTTAAAGCATATGACCAACTAAATATTTTAAAGTCATGCTGTAGCTCTAGAACTGGCCCAAAGTAGGTGTATATAGTGCAATCCCGACTGCGAGTAAGCCCAAAAGAAAGTCCAATTTGAAGGACCAAATTCTCCAACCCAGCTACTGACATGTCTACACTGATGTCACATGGCATTGGAGTCTGACATATATTCCAGGCATAAATCCCATTACACTCTAAATTGAACAAACTCACCAGTATTCCGTGTCAATCACTAGAGCTCCAAAAAGCCATTAATTAGCAAAGGTAACATGTGAGCAGAAAAATCCAAAGACATAAAGATTCCCAATTCCCAAAAAACAGTCAGTTTAAGAGAAAAGCATGAGTGAAACCATTGTTTCTCCCTAGAAAGGGCTGGGGAGAGGGCTTATCAAGTAAATGCTGGCCTTGCAAGCACGAGGACGGGAGTTTGAGCCCCAGAATCCCACGTTAAGAGAAAAAATAAAATAAAATAAGGTGGGTATGGTGGTGCTTGCTTATAACCTCAGTGCAGGAGAACAGGGACACAGGGGCTAACTGGCCAGCCCATCTATTCTCCTTGGCAAGCTCTGGACCAGTGAGAGACCTTGTCTCAAAAACAAGAAGGAAGGAGAGAAAAATAAAAAGAAAAACGCTGGCTGTATCTGGCTCATGCCTCTCTCTAACCCAGCACTTGGGAGGTGGAGAGGGGGAGGCTTGCCAAGTGTTTGAGGCCAGCCTGGACTATATGCCGAGATTCTATTTTAAAACACTTGCATTTGTTTTCTTACACACACACACACACACACACACACACACACATACACACACGGTTAACTGACAGTCAAATAGCATTCAGGGAAAGGAATTACACACACACACACACACACACACACACACACACACACCTCAGACAGCCAATCTGATGTTATTTAAATATCATGAACTATTTCCCTAACCACGCACAGATGTAACTACGGACTCTTCTGCCAACTGCCTAGTTCAGAAACTTCGGTCTATTTTTAATTATTTGGTTCAGAGGACCCATTTGTGATTAACTTCTGTGTTGGATGGCTAGGCAGGTCAAGTTCCTGACCCACAGCAAAGAATACACAGAGAAGCTTAATCATTTTTTAAATAGCGAGAGCAATATCGTAAACTGTGTGTAGGAACAACCGATTCCCCAAAGTCCTGCTCACAGTGGTTACAGTTAGAAGCCGGGATGTGTATCCGCAGTGAGAAAACAGAGGACTCTAAGAGATCTAGAGGAAGCGACACCAAAATGAACTTCTTAAAGACAAGGAGAGTTTCCTGCATGGAAATAACGGAACAAGAAGTAGGAAGACATGAACGGTGTTGTAAGGACTGATGTCAGTCCGGTCAGGGAGCAGAGTGCTGAACAGAAAGCCAACAGTTTAAACCTCAGATGCAATGAGAAGCTGAACAGGAAATGCAAACCCTCACCCTCAGAGCAAGACGAAACCCTAGAACCGAAGTGCAGAGAAGCCATGGTTGGGCACTAAGACAGAAAAGACAGCCGAGATAAAAAGAATGAGCAAATCGAAACTCATTGTTCAATGGGAATTAATTTTTAAAATGTCATATTTATTGTGTATGTGGACATGGGACAGGGGTACATGTCACCAAGCACGTGGCAAGGTCAGAGGACTGCTTTGTGGAGTCTTTCTTCCTTCTGTCTTTACAGAGATCCCAGGACCCTAATTCAGGATGCCAGGCTTGAGCAGCAAGCACCGTTAGCCACAGAGCCATCTCACCGGCTCTCGATATGTATTGTGTTGTGTTGTGTTTTATGTTCTGAAATAGGGTATCACTCTGTAGCCCAGGCTACCTTGGAACTCACCATGTAGCCAGGTGTGCTTCCTGCCTCAACCTCCCAGGTACTGGGATTCCCAGCAGGAGCCACTATACCTGGCAACGTTGTTTTGTTTTAAAAATAGTTCCTGCAGCCTGTGGTGTGATGATTCACACGTGGAGGTGGTGGCAGGAGGACCGGGACTTCAAGGCTAGCCTGGATCTTGTGAGGACTAAATCTAGAAACAACATCAAAGTAACAGAGGAATAATAATCAAATATTTTCAAAATGAGAAAACCACAAACAGAAGGGTAAGTTAACACAATGAAAAGAATTGAAATTAAATGTAAGATACTCAGAGCCTATGAATTAAAACACGGGTAAAACCTAGCTGATGTTACTGCTACCGCAGCTTGGCCCACAACCCTAAATATTTTAAGTTATCCTTTATCTAAATCTTCAACCCCCCTGAGAAGCCTCAGAGTCTCCAGAACCCCAGGCCACAGAACTTTCGGGAGTGGTAGCTAATAGCAGCAATTATTACATTTGCACTAGGTCAATGTCAGCAGGATCTGGAGTTTCAAAACCCAACATAGAACAATACTGTTTGCTCCTAGGATGGAAAGTGGAGGTTTCCTTGGAACTTGTGTCAGACAGAGCTCTTACTTCTTAAAGGGCAGCTCTGTCAGCCACGAGCACTGGCTACAAGCCCTCTGCAGGATAGGTCAACACGGAAAAGTCACATTTGTAGATAATTATGAAATTTCCACAGTCATAAACAATTCCAGATGTTATTATGAGAGGGGAAGCTAATCTTCTGCAGAATAAAAACAAAACAAAGTTGACTTCTACAATTATGTATGCATATGAATATATATATTCATATTCGTTCCCTATTATGCAAATAGGTGAAGTACAAATAAAAATGGATGTTGGCAAGAGATTAGAATTTTCTTTTCAAAAAGATTTCTACACTTAAAAAGAAGCACACGTACAACTGAATTATAACTACAAATGGTTTCACATCACCAACTCGTATCATTACTGTGGACTCTGGCTGGGGATCAGAAACACTTGTATTTCATTTTAGAGATGTTTCCCTCTGTTGTAGCAGAGGCCAGTGTGGTGCCATTTGACCCGTGCCTTTGTCCATAAAACAATCCTCTCAGATATGTAAACAGGGATTTGATTTTTTTTTCTTTAAGTCAAAGAAAGCCAACAATATGGTTGTCAGAACAAGCACCTCTTTCTGTGGGATCCTCTCGTAAAATGAAAGCCATTCAAGTTCAATCAACTGCCGTCCCCGTCCTCTAACACACAGCAGATTTATATTTGAGAAGGTTTTGACCGAGAACAAAATGTAACTGAAATATCTCCGCCATTCCTTTTGTCCTACAGAACCATTCCATGGGCTGACTTCCCAACAAGGGGCATGGGTTTGTTAGTTACTGCCTGTTTCTGCTGCAGATTGCCAGTGTTGACCCTTTCCTGCCCAGACAGAAATAGACACCTTTTGGGATATGTTGCAGCTTGTCATAAAGAGAAACAAAACCCATGGCTTTTATTCTGTGCCACCTTCGAGCCTTCACGGCTTTAAAACTAAGTAAGCCCTGTTGTTTAATTCAGTGATAGGACATTTTGTTAAATACTTATATGCTTATGTAAACAACAGAAAAACAGAGCGAGAATCCTTTTAACAGTCCACACACACGTGTCTACGCACAACCTATCAATGGTGTATTTGAAGGCTCAACTTGTGGTGAGAGACAGTTCAGAACCAGTAGGAACAAGTCTGGGCAAGATGAAGTTAGCCTTGACTCCAAGTTATGCTGGTGGGCCAATGCCAACCCAGAGAGAGTGGATGCATGCATTGTGTCTAGCAAAGGAATAAGTGGTGTTGGCACAATGGTACCCCAAAACTGAAGAGAGACTGGAAACCCTAGAGAAAACATAGGGCAAGCGGTGTAGCGTTCAGCTGGGTCTGACCATCAGTGACTAAGCCTAGTTCAAAATGAGTAGGAGGCCAACTCCAGACAATGGGATGGCTAACACACTGGCTGCCAGGGACGACGTTCAAGGGGAGGTCTCTGAAGCTGGGTGTCATCCATTAGGGTGGCCCAGAATAAAAATGGTGATACATTATGCCTCCTGGCAAGTTCATTAAAGACACCAAGTCCTGAGGACTCCCAACGAAGATCCTGGGGGCAACAAGTGACGTCCACCAGCATTTTCTGTTCTGGAACCTGTTAGAGAGAAACATCCTTAGCTACTCCATTACCAAGTTAAGTTCCCTGCAAGACAAATCACCTTGACTTCTGTGTGGGGGAAGAAAGACTCTAGAGAGATAGTGGGGGGGGGGGGGGGGGTAGGTAGAGAAGTACATCCAATTCTAAGTGTTTCTGCACCTAAGAGCATGGTAGTCTGCCACCAGATGACATCTGCAAAGATGGGAGAGATTGCGTTACAGTTAGGACACAAGCTTCGGGGCTCTGGAGATGGACAGCAATTAACCACATACACACAAAAAGATGTCATCACAAAAGCAGTTCACGGTCCTGAAGATTCGCCTGTCTTTGCATCTGCAACAAGCACCATGCAGAGTCACGGGCAGTGGGACACACTTTGCTAACCTCCCCTACAATGACCAAGAGCAAAACAGCAGGAACCTACGGACAGGAAGTTGGCCTGGCTCCATCTTCCCACCCACCCACCCACCCAGGAAGGAACTTCTCTCAGATTTCAAAATCCCAAATGCCAGATCAATTTGAATTCCTGGTGCTTCTAACCTTGCCAACAGGACTGCAGGAAAGGAGAGACAGCTCAGCCATGAAAGTATAAAGAGACCCTTCCTCCCTAGCCCTCAGTTCATCAGGACTTGGGCACTCTGGACACATCTAAAATCTAAATGTACAAGGGAACGTTCCAGGACTGGAGAGAAGCTCCGTGTTTTAAAGTGCTTGCTGCTCTTACAGAAAACAGGAGTTCAATGCCCAGCACCATGCTGATGGGCTCACGGCCACTTGCAACTCCAGCTCCAGGGGATTCAACACCCTCATATGGCCTCCACAGGCACCTGAATACACATGCAAACACACACAAACAACACCACACACACACACACACACACACACCACACACACATTCACATGCATAAAATAAATCTTAAAATGTCCCAAAGTGCATCAAATGTTTGCTCATATTCAAGAGGCTGAATTGCTTCTATATTTTACCAGGTCCATCTCCAAACTTCTCTGTTGAACCAACTTGATAAAATAAGGACATATCCTTTAGTGTTATGAATTCAGAAGCCTACCTGCATAAAGCCCAGGGGAATCTTAGTTGTACTGGGGGATCGAGGAATGTGAAAGACAAAAGGTCAGAAAACCCAGACTATAGATCTAAGGATCTAGTTATACAATAAATTATCTTTTCTTTTCCCCCTTGCTGTAACCTAATACCTGACAAGAAACAACTTCACAGGGGAATAAGGGTTTACTTGGGCTCATACTTGAGAGGAAGTGACGCTGCAACACCTAGAAGGTCTCTGGGCTGTGGCCGCAGAAGTATGAGGCTGCTTGTTCACATCTAGGTGGGACAGGGAACAGAGGGAAGGCCACAAAGCATTTTGATGGTTTTCTCTTTGGTTCCTTTGTAGTTCGTAGCATGTGCCATCATATCCTATGTGGGTCCTTCCTCCTTAATTGATCCTCTCTGGAGACTCCCAGAACTGTCTCCTATGGGATTCTAAATCCAGTCAAGTGACAATGAGGATAAACTATGATACCACAGGGGCCCCATCAGGCCGTGTCAGAACTGCCAGGTTCAGTTGTTACTGTTGCTGTCTCAGGTGATGACTAGACTCCACTCAAGGAGACATCCTGACTCCACTGAGGCCATTTACCCATAGGACTTGGATTCGTGTGACACATTGTAATCAAGGAAGGCAGACCTATGACACGCCAGCCACCATAAATACTATGCATAGCTGTGGGTGTTAAGGCTGGGGTTTCTCAATCAGACTCTCCGAGTAAAGTACCAAGAGATAAGGGGAGCTCTGAGTAATTCTGCAGAGAAGCAGGAAGCATAGGACTTCCATGCCTATGAAGTCTTGGGAGACCCTGGACATTTAAAAAGGGAAAACTTTAAATAATGATGGTGATGATAATCATGATGATGATGAAATAATTTTCTAAGATTTTAGGGCAAAGAGTCTCCACTTAGTGCATCAGTCAGAGGAACTTAGAGAACAGTCACCGTCAGGTCACGTGACATTCTCTGCCCAGAAGCACAGCTCAGCCTGTTCATCTCTCCTTTCCAAAGACTGGCTGCCTTCCTCTCGGCTTTACATAGGATATGAACTCTGACTTCTAGAGCTTGGTCTGGAGTAGGTGAGAGAAGTTTTGGTCTGGGGAGGCCCAAGTTTCACGAAACGTATTTTCTGCTATGTTAATGTTGACCCAGCTCACATTCGCCTATGCGAATCTGCAGGGTAACTGAAATAGCTCCACAGTGTGCCTGCCGGTGTCTCTCCTCTTTTATACATGTTTATTCGGGTTGTTAAAATAGTACTGTTCACCTGGGCGGTTCCAAGATGGAAGAAGACTACAGTCCAAGCCTCCTGAAGAGTGGAGAAAAGGACAAAGGGTTGCAGGGCTTAAGTAGAACAGGGCAGCCAAAATAAAACACCACAGAGGGCTTCGACACCATTGCTACATTTCCTTCAGATTCCATACAGCGCAACGTTGTAATCCATTTGACAATTTCATGTATATAATGTGTTTGGTTATTCCCACCCTAGCAGCATCTCCCCTTCCTCTCTTTTTCCCGATGACCCCCTTTCTTCTTCTCAAAATATCGCCCTCCACTCTCATGTTTTTTGCTTTGTGAGCCACCAAGTAGAGATTAATTACTGGAGCATGGGCAAATTACCAGTGTCTATACCACTGAAGAATTTGATTGCCCTCCACCAGCAATCAATAATGCCCTCCTTAGAAATGGATAGGGCCTCATAAGCCCTTCTCCCATTCATAGAAGGCCCAAAACTAAATAAAATAAAATAAAATAAAAAAGAATTAAATAGTGTTTTGGTTTTGTTTTCTGTTTTTGAGACAGGGTCATCCTATGCAGCCAGGGCTGGCCTCAAACTAACAACCCTCCTGCACCCCCTTTCAGGGTGCTGGAATTGTAAGCATGCAGCACTATACTTGATTCGATGTTTAAGTTAATAATAGAATCATCTTTGCTTCTGTCGACACAGTAATTATATGCTTATCTTCTGAGACTCTGAACATATGAAGGGCAAAACTGAGCTGAATTTCACATTTCTGTTGTTAAGTCAAGGTCTCCCTCTGAAACCCAGCCTGATCTGGAACTCACTGTAACCCTCCTGCCTCAGCCTCCTGCATGCTAGGGCTACAGGCATGAATTACTGCCCAGCTTCTAAAGAGAATCAAGTCGAGCAGTAAAGATACATTGACAGCAGGAAGCACCCCTGCCCAGGTCCTTATGTGAAGGGCATCTCCCCCAAATAAAACTGTAGATAGATGTGTACTTCTCTATGTCCTGGGTTCAACAACCCAAGAGACCTGAAACATGGCAAGAGAATTTAGAACTGCCACCCAAAATTTCTTCTATCCCAATTGGAATCACCCAGAGCAGAATAAGATAGGGTGACTTGTGGATCCCTGTGGGACTGTGTGGGGTCCAAGGAACTAGAGTCTTGGTTTCTGGTATTAAGACCCCATTTCCATCTGATGTGCAGTCCACTGCATAGCTCCTCACCCCAACTACCAGGTAGGGACGCCATCTATCTGCCAAAAGTATCTTTATCTACCCCAGCAGGGCATCTCCTAGATAAACCATATGCAAGAAGGAGGTAGCTGGGCCACCCAATGGAAGAGGCCCAGATGCCACCTTCTGATCATGCTTCTACCCCCACCCAGTCTCATTCCTGTTGAATCTTCTTACATATACAAAGGACTGCTTCATTGCCCCCGCCCCAGCTTGGTCACATGGCTCCCAATTCCACATTACGTCCCCTCCAAACCCGAGCAACCTGACTCAGAACTCCCTTCCAGATAGACGTAAGCCTGGTGTTCATCTGAGCTGGCAGACAGAGTCTACAGACCATGTACAAAAGGCTGACCAAGACCAGGGGACTAAGTTAGGACACCTGAACCTCACTCGCATCCATTCAGTCCTCCAACACAACAGTTATGCCTTTAGGAATCATCAGGAAACCAAAACTCAGCAGGTTTTTGGGGTTTTTTTTTTCTACACAAAGACAGTTTTCGACATTCAGAGTTCCTTTGCCTGAGTTGAATGTGTAGTACTGTTAGGACTCAAAACTGAGCAAAGCCAGCATTTCATTGCGTGGCACTTTCATTCCAGAAGATTGGGCCCTTCTGTATCCTTCCTGTCTTTTTGCCACAGCCCTCTGGCACATCCTTGTTACTTTGTCACCAACTAACATGGTGCCCGATGTTACTCTAACAGATGTCACCATTTTTCCTCCGCTGTGGCCTGTCGCAGACAGAGTGGATCCAGGTCACAATTGTGTTACCTTGGCCCATGTAAATAGAAGGATTCATAGTCAGTTTGTAACATAAAGACCCAAGTCATAGGGAAGTACCTGTATATGCTGCATGCTTATGTAAGTCAAATTTTGAGCCTAGGGCAGCAGGGAAGACCTTCTGAGCTAGAAAAAATGTTTTTAAAATGGTACAGAAGTATCGGGTGTGGTGGTTCACACGTGTAATCTCAGTGGCCATGAGGCCGAGAGAGAGGAAGATTGCTACATGTTCAAAATTAGCCTGCTCTACAAAGTGAGTCCAAAGCTAGACAGAGCCACATAGCTTGTGCAAACAAGTGTTACAGAGGAAGAAAGGGGCTGTGAGAGTTCAAACAGTTTTCAGCCAGCCTAGCCCAAGTGCTCCCTTAGGAAGGGACAGAAAACTGAAATTTTATGAACAAGGGGAAATTAGCCAGGCAGAAGCAAAAGGGCGCTGGTCCTAAGGAAGGTGGTCCAAAGCACTTAAAGTCTCCAACAGAAGAGAATAATCAGAAGGAAGCACTCAGTGACTGAGACATGGGTATCCCAGCTGGTGTGACAAGGGACATCCCAAGGCAGGGAGCCCGATTAAAGGTGCTAAACTTCATTCTACAGCTGTAAGAACCTAGAGAAGGGACAGGGAGAACATTAGCATAAACAAAGATACAAACAGATTTCTAATATTCAGAAATG